ACCAGGTGCTGGGCTCAGAAGCTGGAAGGCCCAGTGGCTGGCTCACCAGCAGCAGCACAGACCCACACAGGTCCCCAGGCACCAGTGCACCACCCCCCGGGCCCATGGCTACTGCCTGTGATGGGCTCGCCGGCTCTATCACCCACCAGATTCCCAGGTCCCACGCCAGAGGGCAGGGCAGAAGCCGCTGTGGGGATCAGCAGCGCCACCTGCAGCCAGGCTGAGGGAGCCCATGAGGGAGGGAGACGTCTGCCCCCAAGCAGGAGCTGCCAGCAGGAGGGCAGCTGCCTTGGTGTGGGCTTCCAGGAGGTCCTGAGGCACAGGCAGGTGGGCAGCAGAGGGGTGAGGGAGCAGCCCTGAAGCCTCCACCCCAAGAAGAGCCTGGCTTGGCAACAGACCCATCGACCCCACGCTGTGCCTCCCCCAACCCGTGGCCACAGGGCAGGGAGCCCGGGCTGGTCCACTGCAGCCTGGGATCCACCCCGCCCCCAGCCCCGGGAGCACGGCTCCTCAGTGCACACACGCGTCCACGCACACGCGCCCACGCACGCACACCTCCAGGGACACTGAGGAAGTGAAAGACGGCTGTGCCCGCTAGGAGTCCAGTTTCCCTGGCAGCAAGAAGAAAAGATGCTGTGAAATTCCCCTGAGTGAAAACGCTGGAGAGAAAACTCGAGGTACAGCCGAATCAAAAGGGAAAATTCTCAGCCTGCGGCTGCTTAAAGGTCAAGGAGGCTGGAGGAGTTCTCTGATAATACCCTCTCCCCGCCCTCCGCGGCAGCCCCTCTCCACCGAGCTCAGGAGGGTCGGGCTCCTGGCAGGCCAGGATGGCCACAAGCAAGTGCGAGCTCCATGCCCTTCTCAGGAGCACAAGCTCTGAGACCCTCAGCTCCCGCACCTGCACGGGGGACTGAGTGTATCCAAGGTAAATGAAGGCAGGAGGGGGCGGGCAGAGAGACGCCACAGGAAACAGCCAGAGATGAGACCCTGGGGAACTGCATCCTGCCCAGCGCAATGGAGGACTGTCAGACCGCTGCGGGTCACAGGCAGGTCAAGGTTACAGTCAAGGCAAGCACTTCCCCACCCCATTGCTCTTGGGGGCTTTACCTGGGAGCAGGATGACCCCCCTCCTGACAAGTGCAGCTGGAGGGAGCCTGGGGACCCTCTCCCCTAAGCCTAAGCAGAGGACTCTGCAGCTGCCACGTACCGTCACTGGCTCCCCCGACAGCACTTCTCAAAAGGGCCTTTCTCTAGCTGCCCTAGAACACGGGTGCAGGCAGCTGGCCTTGTCCCATCAGCTCACCACATCCCAGGGAGTCCCTACAGCCGCAGGGACTCACTGCTTCCCCATCTGGCTTCCCTGCTGCAGTGAGGCCAGAGATCTTGCTTCTGGCAGTAGCCCACAGCCCCTGCAATCCCCACCACCCACTGCCTGCAGCTGCAGGGTCTCTGACGGGTTGGGGGCAACGGGGCACCCAAAGCCTCAGCAAGGCCCCAGCCCAGCACGTGGCTGCACAGGACTGCACAGTGGGCACTCTCCCAGAGCTGGCCGAGGCCCGACGTCCTCCCGCCCCAGCCTGGAACTCTCTTCGAGGGGCCATGTGGTGTGTGACGCCGCTGGCAGCGCGGTGCTCAGCCTCGTGGGGACGTGTGTTTAGTGCCTGGCCTGGGCAGCGCAGGAGGGTGAGCCCTGCAGGAAGGGGCTGCCACAGTGCAGGTGGGGGAGGGGAGGCCTGCGGGGAGCAGCGCGGGGCCGGCCTTGGAGGGTCAGCTGGGCTGAATCACCCCACCCCGGGCCCAGGTTCCAGGAGAGTCTTTCTTTTTTTTGAGATGGAGTCTCACTCTGTTGCCCAGGCTGGAGTGCAGTGGCTCCAGCTCAGCCCACTGCAAGCTCCACGTCCCAGGTTCAAGCCGTTCTCCTAGCTCAGCCTCCCGAGAAGCTGGGATTACAGGCGCCCACCACCACAGCCTGCTATTTATTTATTTATTTTTTTTTTTAAGTAGAGACAGGGTTTCACCACATTGGCCAGGCTGGTCTCGATCTCCTGAGCTCAGGTAATCCGCCCGCCTCGACCTCCCAAATTGCTGGGATTACAGGCGTTAGCCACTGCGCCTGGCCCCAGGAGAGTCTTGATCTAGGGCAAGGAGTGCAGCCTGAGGCAGGGGGTTCTACGGGGTATGGCCTTCGGGTCACCAACCCAGGCCACCCCTAACCCCAGGAAGATGCAGGGTCGGGTGGAAGCTCGGACCCTCTCCACACCCACCTGCGCTCCGGCCTCTGGCCTGGCTGACAGAAGGGACTTCGGGCAGCCCAGGGGGGAGGTGCAGGTGCGGGGTCTGGCTTCACAGAGATTTCGAGGCGTCAGTCGCTTCAGATATTGCAGCCCCGCTGCCTGCGAGCACCACAGAACACCGGCCTTTTGAAGCACATTTCTGTCTGTTACTGACACCAGGTTGTTCACGTCACTTTGACACAAATCAAGCTACCAAAGTAGCAACAGACCCAGAAAGGTTTAATAAAATGCTGTAAACCTGAGTACGTCGACACTTCTTTTAAAATGACACCAGAATGCTCTGAAATGGCTGCAATTCAGCGACTGCAGAGGCAAGCAAAGCGGTGTAATTAGGGAGACAGCCAGCCAGACAGGTGGTGGCCTCAGTGATCTGTCGGCTGGGAGGCCCACCTACCCCCAGGGCCTGAGGAGGGGAGGAAAGTGCCCCCTGAAGGCCTAAGTAGCTTCCTGAACGCCAGCCCAGGGACCAGAGGTCAGGTACCTTTTCCAGGTACCTCCTCCCCACCCCCTGCAAGTTGGAAGGGCAGCCTGGAGGGGAAGTCAGCTTCCACGACACACAGTGAGGATCTGAGAGCCGCTCTGTGCCAGGCCCCGACTAGGAGTTGGGACACGGGGTGACCAGGGCCCCCGCCATCTGCTGGAGAGGGCTGACGGCACACAGTAGACCTTGGCTAACGCGGGGGTACCCTGGTCTATGTTTTCCCTAAGGACAGGCTTGGGTGCTGTGGGAACACCTGGGCCCTGCCTCAGCCCTGGGGAGAGAGCAGGGAAGGGGCCCCATGTGCTAAGAGGGCTGAGCTGGCTGTGGAGGCAAGTAGGGAGCTCTGGGGGGTTGGGGAAGGGCCTTGCAGGTCAAGCCCACAGTGTGGCACCTCTCAGGCCTCTTCTGCCAGGCCACACTTGAACAACATAGGGCCTCACCCCTGCCATCCTCACCCCTTCCTGGGCAGAAATCAAGACCAAAGTCAAGGTGCTTCCAGAATTTCCCTTCCCAGAAGAACTGCTGTGCAATCAACGCTGCCCTTGCCGCTGGCCGTCTCCCCTGAGCAATCTCCCACATCAGGTCATAGGGAAGTGTGGACGGGGTGACAGCTAGACACCCGAGGCACCAGGCGAAGCGGGGGGGGGGGTGTGGTAAGGGGCAGTTGGGGAGGGGTGAGGGACGCCCTCAGTGGCTGCATCCTGGACGAACCAGCTCAGGAGAGGCCCTTGGCCCCTGGTGCATCCCTGTTAGTCCCTCTGACAGCCTGTGGCCGGGTCCCTGCCACCTCCAGGGAGCCACTGTCCCCTCCTCCTGTGGAGGCCCCTCCGACCAGTCAGCAGGGACCCCTGGCATCTGACCCACTACAGCCCCAGCCACAGGGCCTACCCCACCCCAGGCTCCCGCGACCGCCAGCAACTACCAGGGCCCCTCACAGGAGACGGAGCCACTGGTGCTGCCAGCCCTGGCGCTGACGTCCTCACATCTGACACATTGGCTGGTCCCCACCTCCAACATCCGTGACCCCCTGCTTCTCTCTGTGGCTGCCAACGGGCCTCACTGGTTGCCTGCCATCTGCTGCCTGGCAGGGACTCTGCGCAGGGCAGACAGTCCCTCCAGAGGCACAAACCTGGCCACGCCTCGGGCGCTCCACCACTCACGCACCCCTGGGAGGCCTCCCTTCAACCCAAGTCACAGGGGGTCCTCTACAGGACCTCCCCCTCGGGCTGCACCTACACTCGGGACGCCTGTGAGGGTACACACGGCTTGCCCCTTCCTGCATTTTGTGCTCTTTGTGCTTTGGTAAAGGAAAAGGTAGACCATTCTCCCCTGCTTACAGCCCCAACTCAGAGAAGGGCCAGGCAGGGCGGTGCTCCCGCGCCCTCCTCCGAGCCAGGATGGCCTGTGAAGATTACAGGAGCGAGCGCAGCCCCGGGAAGGGCGGGAGCGCCACCTAGTGGCCTTCAGAGGACTGCGCAGGGAAGCCCCACCACACACAGCAGGGTTCCCAGTCACCAGCGAAGCCCAGCAACACAGGGGCCCACGCGCGCGTGCGTGCTTGCACACACACACACACACACACACAATCACATGCATGAGCACTCACCTGCACGCGCGCACATGCACACTCACGCACACGGCCTCGCTGCGGACGTGCACAGAAAGCCAGGAGACGATCCTGGAACCCAGCCCACCGCAGCAGCACCCCAGCTGCGCTGGTACCTCCTGGGAAGGGGCATGTCCACTGTGCTCCACACGCGGCTGTGGCACCCCGCCCAGCCCTCCTGCCTGCAGGGCCTGGCCCAGACATGCCAGGGCGGAGGCTGCAAGGGAACGGCTGCAGGGTCATCCCGGCCAGGCCCCTTCTGGGCAGTGCGGACGGTGACCCTTCACCAGAAATCGTCTCCGTTCAGCCGTGAGAAAGCACAGCCTGGCAGTCGGGGGCTCAAGACCGCGCTCCTGGCCTTGGGGACACCTGGGGCCATTCACAGCTCAATGGGAGGCACTCTGGGGTGCAGAGCACAAGCTCTGGCAGCCTGGGAGCTTCAGCTCTGGGGATGCACATCCCCCTCCGCAAAGCTAGTGGGTGACCCCGGCCAGTCCGGAAAGCCTCCCGCCCTCACACCCCAACCTTTACCGGCCTCACCCTGCCACCACACCCAGCCACGTACCCAGGATCCACCCCGTCCTGAGGGGCTCCGGGCCGGCAGGCCGCAGACACTCACCAGGACTTGGGCTCCCCGAAGTGCAGGTAGTTGATGCTGTACAGGTCCATGTCCTCAGTGTGCCAGGCGAAGGTGGTCTTCCACATACCGAAGTACAAGTAGGGCGTGTTGACGCCCTCGATGATGGTGCCGCACTCGCGCTCCACCATGTCCAGGATGGTGCGGAGGCTGCCGATGTTCCACTGCGCCACATCCTGCAGGGGCAGAGCAGCATCGGCAACCACCCGGCCACCCCCAGCGCCCGCGAGGCCCAGGGGGTCGCTGCCCACCTTGGCCCACCCCAGTACCTGAGGCCCCCGGGGCTGGTCACACCCTACAGACCTCTACATGCTTGCTTTCTCTGCCTGAGACTCTCGCCCAGGCTGGAATGCAGTGGCACGATCAGAGTTCGCTGCAGCCTCGACCGCCCTGGCTCAGGTGATCCTCCCGCCTCAGTCTCCTGAGTACCTGGGACTACAGGTGCAGGACACCATGCCTGGCTAATTTTTAGTTTTTTTTTTTTTTTTTTGTAGAGGTGAGATCTCACTCTGTTGCCCAGGCTGGTCTCAAACTCTTGGGCTCAAGGGTCCCTCCCACCTTGGCCCCTCTAAGTGCTGGGGTTGCAAGCATGAGCCACCATACCCAGCCTAGACACCTTTTCTGAAGGGCTCAATGCCAGCCTGGCCCTTCCAGGAAAGGCCCCAGCACACATGCCAATGTGCACCAGGCGGGCAGGGCCTGCCAGATTCCACTGAGCAGTGTGCTTCCTGCTGGGGTGGGGGCCTTATGTCGAAACTTGCAATTTGGTTGTGCATAATTAACGTGCCTCTAAGTCAATGACACGGAAGGAGAAAAACAGTCACCACGTGGGGCTAACCCAGCGATGATATCGGAGCTGAGGCTGTGACAGCCTAGCCACAGCTTCAGACCGAGGGGACGAAGAAAGCTTTCAGAACCGGGCAAACAAGGATGAACACCCACCCACCAGGCACATCCATTCTTAATGCCACAAGCAAACAAACCCCGTCCTGTCCTAAGAGCTCATAAAATACGCATTAGTTGCTGCAGTCTCCGGAGAGGCTCACGGCCTGCCGAGAGGCTGAGAGGAACCTAGACACGCTTGGGAACCTGAGCTCCTCTCAAAGCCGGAATCCACCCCACACCAGCTGTTCCCGTGCCAGCCTGACTGGCCCTGGGACTTGGCAGGACCAGCGGTTCCTTTGCAAGGTGAGCCCTGGCAGGAGCCCAGAGAGGCACAGAGGGAGGCGGAGAGGGAGGCAGTGAGGAGACCCCGAGGGGAGGAGGGAGGCCCTGGGCCCAGGCTGATCCAGGTGAGAATTCATCCTGGGACCAGATCAAGTCGCTTCTCTGCTCTGGGCTCAGTTTCCCCAACTGTAAAAGGAAGCTGGTGCATAGGTCAGGCGTGCCAAATACGTGCCAAGGAAGCCCTGAAGCTTCCTCTGGAGCCTGTGGCAGGTCGGCCTGGGCCCGCACAGCCTGTATGTGGCTGCAGAGTCAGCCAACCCAGAGGCTCTCCTGCACTGGGCTCTGAGGCTGGAATTTTACTCAAAAACAGTCAGGCGGGATCCGGAACAGAAAGACAAGCCCCAGACCAAAAAGAAAAACTTGCAAGACACAACTGATAACCAAAATACACAGCGAACTCTCACAATTCAACCAGAAGACAACAAACAGCCCAGTTCAAAAACGGAAAAAAAACGGCCAGGCGCGGTAGCTCACGCCTGCAATCCAGCACTTTGGGAGGCCGAGGTGGAAGGATGACTTGAGCCCAGGAGTTTGAGACCAGCCTGATCAACACGATGAAGCCTTGTCTCTACTAAAAATGTAGAAGTTAGCCAGGTGTGGTGGAGGGCGCCTCTAGTCCCAGCTACTCGGGAGGCCGAGGCAGGAGAATCACTTGAACTCGGGAGGCGGAGGTTGCAGTGAGCTGAGATCGCACCACTGCACTCCAGCCTGGGTGACAGAGCAAGACTCCGTCTCAAAAACAAAAACGCACAAACACACAAGAAATGTTCACGGTCGCATTGTTCATAACAGGCAGAGAGAGAACACAACACAAATGTCCATCAGCACACGAACCGACAAACACAACGTGGTGTGCAGTGGACACCTCTGCCCTCAAAATCCAAAATCCACAATGCGCCAAGGTCCAAAATGTCCTGAGTACAGGCAGGACCCCACAAGTGAACACTCCTCAGCTGACTTCATGTGGCCAGTCACCACAGTTAAGACACGGCCAAAACTTCGTTTCACGCATCACAGTATTAAAAACTGCGTGTTTAAAGTACACATGAAACACAGCTGAATTGTGTGTGTAGACTTTAACACGGCTTGGCTCCGAAACCCCACTAAATCGCATGTTGAACTGCAGGTCCCAGTGCTGGCGGTCGGGCCGGGTGGGAGGTGGCCGATCGCGGGGGCGGGTTTCTCATGAAGGGGTTAGCACCATCCCCTTGCTGCTGGTCTCACGATAGTGAGCTCTCGCGAGACCTGGCTGTTTAAAATCGCACGGCACCGCCCCTCACTCTCTCGTCCTCCTGCTCCTGCTGTACACGACAGCCGAATCAGCCTCTCCTTCACCTTCCGCTGCAACTCCTGAGGCCTCCCCAGCCATGTTTCCTGCAGAGCCTGCAGAACCATGAACCAATTAAAGCTTTTCGTTACTCACTACCCAGCCTCAGGTCTTTCTTTTCTTGTCCTTTCTTTCTTTCCAGACACAGAGTCTTGCTTTGTCGCCCAGGCTGGAATGCAGTGGCCAGAGTGGTCTCAAACTCCTGACCTCAAGGAATCCACCCACCTTGGCCTCCCGAAGCGCTGGGATTACAGGTGTGAACCACCATGCCTAGTCGTGGTGTTAGTAATCTTTTTCTCTTTTTTTTTTTTTTTT